TTTCTTCTACACACATCTCCATAATCGAAAATGGTAATAGTTAGGATTCATTAAAAAAAATCGAGAACCCACTCATGGAACAAAAACCCTTCCTGCATCAGGCACTAATAATTTTTAACATCTAAGTAGATCGGGAATCATACAAAGTAAGAACAAAAGCCATTGCTTTTTGTTTCCCTATATTTTAATTGAAGCCGCGGCCTTATCCATTTATTCATTCGACCCAACTTTATTTTGTTCCGTTCCAAGAATTCTAACACAGTTTTATACCCATCTAGGAACAATGAAATATTTTCAGAAGTTTTCGTTGATACGACATGCAATTTTTACCATTCATTCCCTTTCAGGATCAGTCACGGTCTTCCAAACTTTACCGAGAGTATGGATGAATACCTCACTTCATCCATATGTGTAAAAGACACTAGCCACACGTAAAAGTCGAGTACTCTACCGTTGGTTAGCAGCCCGAAGAAAATATCAAAAAATTATGTAGATCCAATCCGAAGAAGAAGAATTAACTAGATTAGACAAGACAACCAAAAACCATTGAAAGAAGAAATCTAAAAAAATACATTTACACTTTCTAATTCATTTAAAACATAAAATAAAACAAAATAAATTCACTTCATTTATCACAATGAATTATATTTGTTCGATACACTGTTGTCAATATAAATATTTGAATATTAAAAAAAAAAAAATCAATTGAAAACAATAAAAAATAGTAAAAAAAAGAAGGGCTTGTGTTGGTGGAACTACAAATCTAATCCAAATAAAATAGATACAAAAAAGTATAGATGAGAGAATAAAAAAAAATAAGTGGAAAACAAAACTACAATTTACTTTAATTTACTTAGATTTATTGAATTCATAATGGATTCAATCAAGTTAACTGAGATAAGCAAACTTGATTTCGTTCCGAAATGCCCGAATTTAATATTTCGAAGAACAATAAAATAAGAGGTTTTGTCGTTATAGAGCACGAATTCACTGGAAGCAATGATAAATAAATACAAATAGAAAAGGAAAGGGAGGAACTACTAAAAAATAGAAGAGAAAAATCATACAAAGTTATATACAAATCAATACCCCCTTTTTTGTATTTCCTTAATTGAATTTCGGTTGATTAAGACGAAGTTCCTTAAAAACCTCTACCTTCTTTAAAATATCCTGAACAGTTTCTGTAGGTTGAGCCCCATTTTCAAGGTAATATAAAATAGCAGGAACATTTAAATAAGTTTGATTCTTTATTGGATCGTAAAAACCCACTTTCTGAAGATCTTTTCCTTCTCTTTAGGGATCGAACATCAATTGCAACGATTCGATAGACGGCTCATTGGGATAGATATAGATGAACAACATCCCCCTAGAAACGTATAGGAAGCTTTCTCCTCATACGGCTCGAGAAAAATGATTGATTGATGTTTTGTCTTTGATGGAATTCTATCTAAGAAATGACAACTGGATCCATAAAATTATCAAAGCAATTAAAGATCTATGTCTTTTTTTCTTCGTTCTTCCTTAAAATGAAAAAGAAACCATTCATACTCTAATAACTCAAGTTGGATAACTTTCTAACAATTCAAAGGAAACTTTCGGCAATTTCATTTATTGAGCGGTCTTTCCTCCTTTTTTGTTTGTCTCATTTAAAATCAGATTCTTTAGTCTGATCCAATTATTAGGACGATTAAAAAGGTGTTTCCGTGTTCTTGGATCCTTTATTTTGTTTTATTTTAAATCATTCGGTTTAGACATTACTTCGGTGCTTTTTAATCCTTTCAAAATGGCAGCAACATACCCTTTTTGAGATTTTTATGAAAGAATCCTATAAGATGATGGATTCCCTCATGAAACACTTTGGATCGAAAAAGTTTGATCAATTCCAATAATTTTTTCATTTTAAACTTGCTCGAATTGGATTCTTTCGATTCCCATACCTAAGATATATTTATGAAGTTGTTTCATTTTTTTATTGATTATCATTAACCCTAGACCCTTCCCCGAGAAATAAATTAATACTTTCTACTCGAGCTCCATCATGGACTATTTACATTCCAAGACAACAAAAAATGAGGGGTTCTAGTGAAACATAACCCATGATGTCGAGCTAAGAGCACCTTCATTCCTACAAAAAATGGTGGATGTACAATTCCACAACGCATCATGTCCTTCAAGTCACACGTTGCTTTCTACCACATCGTTTCAAAAAAGTTTTACCATAACATTCATGTAAGAACCGGTATGGAATTGATTCAATTATGGAATCATGAATAGTCATTGGTTGGGCGATGTATAAACACCATAATATAAAGTATTGTCTATATCTTCTATATTTTCTATATTATAGTATATATAATACTATAGATATAGGTGGATAAATATTTTTCTGAAGAAGTCTTAGTAAGACCCCATCGCTAATATTAAATTGTCTAATAATATAATATTAATTAATAAATATATATAATAAATAATTTATTTATATAAATAAAATAAGACGAATAAACGAATTCTTTTTATTTGCATCTTCACGTGACTTAATAGGAGAAAAGATTAGCTTCTAAGGAATGATTTAAACTATTTCTCTTTCGAAATTTCGAATCAATTTCGAAAGTTCCCCTCTCGACATCATTATTCCAAGAAAATTTTATAGTTAAAAATAACTTTTGATCATCTTAGGAAAAAAGATAAGTCTTTTTTTTTCATCTGATTGATAAAATCCAAAGAATGGGGAGGGTTTCGTATCTTTCAATTCGATCAAATAGACTGAGAAATTGTCACTGTTTATAGATATTGAAATGAACGCCTTCCCATCACTGATAACTCCTATCTACCCCATTCTATGGGATTGATGCATCATAAATCAAAAGAAGGGGATATCCTAGTCTTTTTTATTTTTACGAAATGCGAGTTGTTTGGGCACAAAGACAAACAAGCCCAGATTAAGTCCAGTTTTTGCTCCTTTTTTTCTATTTTAGCCTACCTCATTGATTAAGAATTAAGAGACTTGGTGAGTTGAATTAGTACCAAAAATCCCCTCTTGGTGAAAATTCAAGAAATCTACAAAAAAGAAAATTGAATCTAAGTAGGCTAATTTAGGGAGTAGAGAATATGAGATAGTGAATATGGATTCTTTCGTATCTCGATTCATTTTTGAAAAAAAAAAAAGATTCATCGAAGAAAAAAATCAGAAACAACAATCACATTCCATCTAACATTTGATTTTAAACACAACATTGTTAAAAAAACAATCTATATTGTCAAAGAATATATATGTTCTGGGATGGAAGGATTCGAACCTCCGAATAGCAGGACCAAAACCCGTTGCCTTACCACTTGGCTACACCCCATTTAGATTTCTATGTGATACTAAAAAGTATATTGCTGGTTTTGTTTGTTTGTCAACTCTAGCCCAAATAGCTATAGAATCGATTAGATTGGTATTCAGATTTTTCTATATTTTTGGTATGTGTAGATATAGAATTCAACTTAATTTATTGATTATTACATATAATTTAATTAAGATATTGTATGAAAATATTATTTTTTCGATTCTTCTTTGAGAAAAGAGGATTTTTGATTGGGTGGGTTCAAAGAAAAAGAAGTATTTTTTGTTGACCTTCCTTACTTTCCTTTTCCTTATATAAATAGCTCAATCAAAATGCAATTATCTCCAAGAACAAAAAGTCTGTTATGCTTAATACCTTAGTTTGATCGGTATCTGTCTTAATTCGACCCTTTATTCTAGTAGTTTTTTCTTCAGCTAATTGCCCGAGGCCTATTATTTTTGAATCTAATCATAGATATTATGCCAGTCATACCTCTGTTCTTTTTTCTATTAGCTTTGTTTGGCAAGCTGCTGTAAGTTTTCGATGAGATCCTTAATAATATCCTAGAAAATTCATGATTTATTAGAGAAAAAAATTATAAAATCAATAAAATCAGAAAAGCTTTACCGTTTGAAATCTCGATTCAAACATTGAAATTCTTGGATAGTCACGAGAAATCCGGCTTAACTTATTTCCTTCTTTTTTGGCGCTTTCCTTTCTAGTGAAAGACCTTAGTAGGCTCCTCTTGTGTATATAACAAAATTGGTTAGTGACAAACTCTTATTATAAAAGAAGTTATGACAATTCTTTTAGAAAAAAGCTTCGTTGCTTGGTGTCAAACTAGGATATGTGATGGATGATGTATTTTTTTTTTTTCCAAAAAAATCATCATTGAGATTGTGTAATGCTTACTCTCAAAGTCTTCGTTTACACAGTAGTGATATTTCTTGTTTCTCTCTTCGTCTTTGGATTCCTATCTAATGATCCCGGACGTAATCCTGGACGTGACGAATAAAATAAAAAAGGTTTTTCCTTGCTTGTTTTTCAAATTTTCTTAGCATTTGGTCTATTCCATATATTTAACTAAGAATAAGAACAAAGTATTTTGAAATTCGAAAAAAAATCAAGGTTTTTTAGTAATTTAGAAAGGGGCGGGAGGTATCTGTACTTGAATAACTATAAGCGAACCCTTTAAGATGTTTCGACGCTTGATTCTCGAATAGGATTGAATTTAAGATGAATTCTTGGTTTACGTTGTGGAAGAAAGACACGTAAATGTGATATTAGATATTGCCTAGTGCTAGTTATATATCAAATGACCTGAAGATATATTTTACTACTCTAGGGGATTCTAATAGACTAGAAGTCCTTCCGGCCCCTTGTGACTGTGAATTGAATGAATAAACGGATGAAATCAAGAAATAATTCAACTAACAGTTAGAACAAAGAACAAGAAATGGAAGAACGAAAGTCGTATGGGTTCACGAAGACTCTGTGGCTAAAAATTAAAAAAGATATATCGAAGTTGTTTTGATGATTCAATAATCTTATTACTTCAATCTGAAGTTCTTAGTTACTTCGACTGGATGAGTCCTAGTGAGGGAATAATTAAGTCAAAATTTATTGGTTGATTGTATCATTAACCATTTCTTTTTTTGGTACCAGGAACTTAACATGAATCCACTGATTGTTGCCGCTTTCGTTACTGTTGATGGATTGGCTGTAGGGCTTGCTTCTATTGGACCTAGAGTTGTTCAAGGGGCTATTGCAGTTCAAGCTGTAGAGGGTATTGCGAGACAGCCTGAGGCAGAGGGAAAAATACGAGGTACGCTATTGCTTATTCTAGCTTTTATGGAAGCTTTAACAATTTATGGACTAGTTGTAGCATTAGCACTTTTATTTGCAAATCCTTTTGTTTAATCTTAGCTAAGAAATATGAAAAATATATTTCTTTTTCATATTTTATTGCCTTCGACTTGTCGTTTGCTTTTTCAAATTCTATCAAGATTTTGCTCCTCCCATTCTTTATTCTTTGAGAAAAGAACCTACGGGAAGGGCTGATTTGTGGATGAGGAATTAGCCTACTGACTCACTTTCATCCTTCCCGTTCATAGACCATGGGAAACTCTTTTTAGTAAGTGTTAGTGTTCCAATAACCAATAAAAGGGCTAGTTCATTAGTTCATAATTTCTAACTACTCAAATATTTTTTATTTTTTACTCAATTTTAGAAAAAATAATAAAATAAATAAAAAGAGGGGCAAAGTAATACAAAAAGAACTCTGTTCGATTTTTTAGTCTATCTATAAGAGGAGATCATATGAAAAAAGAAACAAGTTTGCTGACAATTACATATTTTTGAGTTTTTCAGTAGAGTCCTCCGACTATTTTGGTCTTACATTAGTTTCGATATCTTTTTGGAATATGAACAAAGAAGAGAAGATAGGCTCATTCCATTCATAAAAAAAAGATATGAGAATTTACCTTAAGTAATTGAGCGTGAGAGCCAAATGGATCGAAAGATTCATGTTTGGTTCGGGATGGGATTATGGAATTTGGGAAGGAATGGAAAAATAATCTACTTTCATTAAGTGATTTATTAGATAATCGAAAACAGAGGATCTTGAATACTATTCGAAATTCAGAAGAACTGCGTGGGGGGGCTATTGAAAAACTCGAAAAAGTTCTTTCTCATTTGTGGAAAGTAGAAACCGAAGCCGTGCAGTTTCGAGTGAATGGATACTCCGAGATAGAATGAGAAAAATTGAATTTGATTAATTCAACTTATAAAACTTTGGAACAACTAGAAAATTACAAAAACGAAAAGATTCAGTTTGAACAACAAATGGCGATTAATCAAGTCCGAGAACGGGCTTTCCAACCAGTCTTACGAGGAGCTCTATGAACTCTGAATAGTTGTTTGAACAATGAATTACATTTACGTACCATTAGTGCCAATATTGGCATGTTGGGAACAATGAAAGAAATAACTGATTAGTCTTTCTACTGTAGGTATTATTTTTTTCTTTCAAAAAAGAATAAAGAAATAATCATGGTAACCATTCGAGCTGACGAAATTAGTAATATTATCCGTGAACGTATTGAACAATATAATAGAGAAGTAAAGATTGTAAATACCGGTACCATACTTCAAGTAGGCGATGACATTGCTCGTATTTATGGTCTTAATGAACTAATGGCGGGTGAATTAGTAGAATTTGAAGAGAGTACAATAGGCATTGCTCTGAATTTGGAATCAAATAATGTTGGTATTGTATTAATGGGCGATGGTTTGTTGATACAAGAAGGAAGTTATGTAAAAGCAACAGGAAGAATTGCTTATATACCCCGTGAGTGAGGCTTATTTGGGTCGTGTTGTAAATGCCCTGGCTAAACCTATTGATGGTAGAGGTGAAATTTCAGCTTCTGAATTTCGATTAATTGAATTTGCCGCCCCCGGTATTATTTCATGCCATTCCGTATATGAGTCTCTTTAAACCGGACTTATTGCTATTGATTCGATGATCCCTATAGGGCGTGGTCAACGAGAATTAAATATTGTGGACAGAGAGACCGGTAAAACAGTAGTAGCCACAGATACGATTCTCAATCAACAAGGTCAAAATGTAATATGGGTTTATGTAGCTATTGGGCAAAAAGCGTCTTCTGTGGCCTAGGTAGTAACTACTTTACAGTAAAGGGGAGCGATTGAATACACTATTGTGGTAGCCGAAACAACGGATTCCCCTGCTACATTACAATACCTTGCACCTTATACAGGAGCAGCTCTGGCTGAATATTTTATGTATCGTGAACGACATACTTTAATAGTTTATGATGATCTCTCCAAACAAGCGCAAGCTTATCGCCAAATGTCTCTTCTCTTACAAAGACTACCCAGTCGTGAAGCTTATCCAGGAGATGTTTTTTTATTTGCATTCACACCTTTTGGAAAGAGCCACTAAATTAAGTTCTAGTTTAGGTGAAGGAAGTATGACCGCCTTACCAATAGTTCAAACTCAATCCAGAGATGTTTCGACTTATATTCCTACTAATGTAATTTCCATTACTGATGGACAAATCTTCTTATCCACCGACCTATTCAATTTTGGAATCAGACCTGCTATTAATATGGGTATCTCCGTTTCCAGAGTGGGGTTCGCAGCTCAAATAAAAGCCAAGAAACAAGTAGCTGGTAAATTAAAATTAGAACTAGCGCAATTTGCAGAATTAGAAGCCTTTGCATAATTTGCTTCTGATCTCGATAAAGCTACTCATAATCAATTGGCAAGAGGTCAACGATTACGTGAATTGCTTAAACAATCCCAATCAGCTCCTCTCACAGAAGAGCAACTAATGACTATTTATACCGGAACAAACGGCTATCTTGATTCATTAGAAGTTGGATAGGTAAGGAAATTTCTTGTTGAGCTAGGTACTTACTTAAAAACTACTAAACCTCAGTTCCAAGAAATCATATCTTTTACCAAGACATTTATCGAGGAAGCAGAAGCCCTTTTGAAGGAAGCTATTCAGGAACAAATGGACCATTTTATACTTCAAGAACAAGCATAAAGAAATATTTATCACTTTTGTCTTAATCTTAATAAAAAAAGGACTTAAGCATCTTGGATTCAAATATTCAAATAGTCTTTCTTGTTATCAAAATATATATATATATATATATATGGAAATAAATTGTGTCCAATAGGATTTGAACCTATACCAAAGGTTTAAAAGTCCTCTGTCCTATCCATTAGACAATGGACGCTTTTCATTCTGATTTTTTTTTTCGTGTTTTAACTTTTTGTTTGTAAAAGAAAAACAGAAAGAATCAAATGTGAAATAATTTTTTGAATTGTATATTCAATGATGTACTAATACTAACAACCTAAATTTGATTTAATGAATTTAATGAATAGATTCAAATATTTAGAATAAATAGATATAGAGTGGGTAGTGGGAATCGAACTTGCATCGTTAGCTTGGAAGGCTAGGGGTTATAGTCGACGTCGATTCATTATTTTTAACGTCTCTAATTCAAAACCGAACATGAAACTTTGGTTTCATTCAGCTGCTTTATGGAGATGAGTCAATTTATAGATCTAAGATGTGAACAAAATTCGAAAAAAAAAGAATTCTACCCGTAACATCTATGTCAGCTTTTGATCTAAATACCGATAAAACGAATAGCTTTATAGATGATCATTCTAGAAGAGGGGGATTCTAACAACCTTTCTAGTTATTTCATTCTCTATTTCTATTTAATAGTATCCTGAGGAAAAGTATTTTGTTTCCACCGAGCTAAAACAATATGTTGATATCTCTAGTAAACCAAAGTCATCATTTAATAGCTATTTTGCTTCACTTTCTTCTTTACAAATAAAATCTTGAAGATTTAGTTACGATTAGAAATAAAATTTATATCTTCATCCATGGATCCTTTATTCATACTTATTCAATTGGAAGTGTTGATCCATTTCAAAAATTCTATTTCGCAATTTCATAATCCAATTTTTCAATGTCTAACTGACCTTTGGATACAAATCACGATAATGTGTATTTATTCTCGAATATTTCATTGAGAGGAAAAGGATTAAATCCTTTTCAGAAATAAAGTTTTTGATCGGAATATGAATAAAACCGAAGGACCCTTTAACTATTTAAGGGATAATAGAACCAATCACACTTCTACCACTAAACTATACCCGCTATAATCCGATTATTGTATACAAATGCAATTTTTGTCGAACATGGGAATTGTGGTAATTAAGATATGATAAGATAGGGCCGTCAAAACGACTAAAATCATAACATAAAAATGCATTGTGGAATGCTCGAAAGCTTCTTTTTTTAAGTCCAGCAAGATGGTAAACATAAAATCAAAAAGCAGAAAGAGAAATGAAACATTTTTTTATCAAATTTTCTATTTCATATATTTTATTTGACATTACATAAAAAATGGGAATTTTTTCTTCTTGCTTGAATATTAACTAGTGAATTAAAATTAAATATTACAACTATAACAGACATTTTTGTTTTCAAATTCAAATTCATTGGAACAAAAGAGGCCCGGTTAGGTACTGACCAGACCAGGCCATCCTCACTAAAAGATACCTATATGGCATTTTCACAGAAGCAACTTCCTTGTTCTTCTATTTCTTAACCTGCCGGTCTATGATCTCCTATTGTCCTACAAAATGGGGACGAAACTTCCCAAACTCATTATACTTTTCAAGGTGAGAATTTCAAGTAAGCCATATTATAAACTTTAGGAACACTCACCGACCTTGCTTTCTAAGCTCACCATCTCCCCCTTGGGAGAAAGCCTAAACGAACTTTCTAAGCACCTTTTCTTTCAATTCTAAGGTCGGATAAACTCATCACCAAGCTTTCACATATATCTCACAAGATAATCCTAACCCTTGGTGAACTATACTACTACCCTCTATAGAAGTCTACTAATTGAACATCTCAAGGTATTATCTAAACAACCTACTCATCAAATCTTTTCAACATACCCAAAACTCATAACGATCATATCGGGTTCTACCATCCATAAGACAATAACATTAACGCAGCCCATTAATACTAAAGACAATAACAAAGTCCAGCATATCAAATTTGAAGTCAAAAAAGACAAAGAAACATCGGAATCTAATAAAGCGTAAAACACATACCGGTAACAACATTTGGATGACACTCTTGTTCACCTCTAGATTGGAGAGCATAAAACCTATTTTGTTTTGGAGCATTCCAATCCAAACCACTAGGAGCAACTTGCTTATACTCTCTTCCCTTAGCCTTCATCTTTGGACAATTCATCATCTTGTGGCAACTTTCACCACAACTAAACCAACCATCCATTCCGGCTAAACATCTTCCCTTATGTCTCTTTCCACATCTAGCACAAGTAATCCATAGGGATTCACTACTAATTCCTTACGGTTTAGGGTTAGAAACCCTATTTTCACTATACTTAGGAGCATTTGAGGAGTCTTTCCCGGTAAACCATTGTCAATACTTAGGACGACCATGTCCATTGAACCTTACATGAGAGAAAGTTTCATCATCATTTCTAATCCTCTTTTTCTCCCTAACTCTCCCTTTTAGTTTCTCTTCTTCAATCTGTTGGGTATAAGTCATAAGTCGAGCAATATCCATGTCACCAATGAGCATGGCGGTACGACAT